CTGATAGAAGATATGGTTCATGTTTCTCCAAAAGAAACATGCAGTGGCAATACAAGGGTTTCCTCTATGGATATGTACTTACATTAGCATAGCTCTCACTAAGCACAGACTATTTGTTAGATATTTTGTTTTATGCTCTATTCATCATAACTAAAAAATGACATAGCAGTTGTAACAGTGATTACCACTGTCATTTGGAGATGAGGAGACAGAAGTCAGACAAGACAAGAGTGTTTGCTGTAAAACTCATCTTTTTAGGAGCAGAATATTTGTTCCATTGTTCACATCTGGACACACAAAAAGGAGTCTTTGACTATAAATTTCACTGTGGCCAGGGCAAAAAAAATGGCCCTGGTGACATGAAAGCAGCAGGAACCCAAAAAGGGGAAGAGTCATCCTGGCATTTGTAAGAGAAAATGAAGGCCTTGCAAGAACTATGATTTGAAAAATGTAAATACTTAGGGAAAATGGGGATATACTTTACTTCTAGAGGTTTAAATACAGAATATACCAGAATAGGCTTAGGAGGCTCTAAGCACCTTCAATTTAGGAATTGTGATCACTGATGATTTCAATTATTCAATGAGAAGTAGTGTGAGATATTAAAGAAACCCATGTGTAACAAAGATTCTAATGAGTTCATAATTTTTATCACCTATAAAATGTCTATGTATATACAAGATAAAGGAGGCCCCCATTAGAAACAGTACTGTACATTTGAAAAAATACAATAAAAAGTTCCAAAAATGAGTAAGGCTGACTAGCTTTTGTGTCTAAATAATTAAATACACAGTAAATCTTGGTGGAACATCCAGTGGTTTTCAGACTTTGATCTTGGCCCCAGGAGCAGAGAGGCAGGACAAGATCCCCACATTACAAGAACAGACTGGGGAGTAGACAGGAACATTGGCTAATTTTAATTTAACAAGGCAAGGTATAGAATTGAAATATAAAACCTAAAAAGGTGTCACATGACTAGGTATGGGAGCCAGAAAGGCTTTAAAAATAGATGATATTTGATCGTGGGTAGTCAATGGCAATCAGGAGGCATTCTGACAAAAGAGGATAAGGGTATTTCAGAAAGGAAGTGGCATCAATTATGAGCACATAGAATCAGGAAAGAATCACACAGTTTGTGCACTTGATGGAAGTTGAATGGGGGATACAGAAGATGAAAGGGAGTAGCATTCAAGTCCATGAGGAGTGCAAACTCTACCGAGGGCTTTGAGGAGCCCTGAAGTAGGTGAAATGGTGCTCACTTCAGCAAGGAAGGCCATTCAGCAAGGAGGCCATCAGAGCAGCTAGGTGAGGGAAGATAAGAGACAAACATGGCAAGTAGCATGAGTGCTGAAGCCCATGGGAAGTAGAACACAGGGTCCAGAGATGGGCACTTGCAAAAGAAATCTACAGACACTTACTTCCCTCACTCAGTCTCAGTTAGCTGGGCCATCACCCTGTGCACCAGAGGGTTGTAGATTCTATCCCAGTCGGGGCTCATACAGAAGGCAACTGTTCAATTTCCTCTTTCTCAATAATTCATTCTCTCTCTCTCTCTCTCCCTCTCTCTCTCTCTCTCTCTCTCTCTCTCTCCTTCACTCTCTCTCATCAATGAACATACCCTTGGGTGAGAATTAAAAAGAAATCTACAGGTACAGACTTATTAAGTCAGGTCTGAAGAAAGAAGAACAAACATAGCAAAACAAAACAGAAATCTTCACTTGGGGCAGAATCTGTAATGTTGAGAGACAACTGAAAGACAGTAAACTCTTCAGTCCCCAGTCTGCATTGAATTTTCCCATGAGGAGAAGCTGTTTAAACTGAAAAAATGTAGACTTTATCTTCAAGGAGTTGGAGCTTAAGGGAAGGACTATCTTCTACTATAACTGTCCGTACTCCCACAGGCCAGATGAATTCCATTTTAAGTTACAGGAAAGAAGGTGTAGGCAGCATGGGACATGCAGGCACAAAGAGAGGCACATATCTTTATTTCACACTTTCTCTTCCCTTGTCTCCTATGCACTAAGCATAAGAAGCTTTGCAGCTTCTGTGACAACCGTCTCCTAGTGCCTGGGCTCCTTGCTATGGGACTTGTCTACTAGATTTCTGAGATGCAGTGGGGGCCAGGTGGTGATGTCCTGACTCTGACTCCAGCAGTGACACTTTAGTCTCTCCCCTTTGCCTCCTTGTCAGATTTCTATCAGGCACACATAATCCCTTATTGCATGTTTTTATTGACATGCCTATTACCCCAACGTTGAATATCAGCAATGTCAATCATTCAACAATACTTACTGAAAATATACTGTGTATTCAACTCTGTGTTGGGCAAAGCATGGGGATACCTGACAGGCACACTCTCTTCAAAGCTTAGAGTTTATTTGGGGAAGACGGTTGTCAACAAAACGATCACATAATTAATAAAACACAATAATACAAAATGCTTGAACAGAAAAATGCAGAACTTACAAAAGTCCAGAAAAAGGTTATAATTATTTATATCCTTAAAGTTTTACATGATACTTGACACATCTTTTTTTTTTAAGATTTTAGTTTATTTTTAGAGAGGAAAGGGAGGGAGAAAGGGAGAGAGAGAGAAACATCAATGTGCGGTTGCTGGGGGTCATGGCCCGCAACCCAGGCATGTACCCTGACTGGGAATCAAACCTGCGACACTCTGGTTCGCAGCCCGAGCTCAATCCACTGAGCTACGCCAGCCAGGTACTTGACACATCTTAAGTGCTAAGTAAATGTTGTTAACTAAGTGAGTGCAAGCATTAATGAATGAGCATGTAGAAATTTCCAAATGGTAAAAGTTTAAGACTTAAGAAATTACAGAACTGTAAGATTTCTACCAGTCTTTAGCAACATAATAAAAGGTAATTTTCAGAAAAAAATTTATATGCCTACGAGGAAAATAGTTATTTACAATGGGTGTACTAACAGTAAGTAATTCCTGAATAGACTGGCTGTCCAGGTTGGGACAACAAGGCTGAACTGATATGTTTGTCCATCCATTTCACAAATATTTATTGAACATCTGTCTATCTCTATGAGGTGCTGGCACTTAATAGGCAAGGTGCCTGCTCTTACAGCATTCACATTCTGGTACAGGGACTTGAGATGGAAAATAGCAAACTAGTAAGTCCAAACAAGATATTCTGGTGTGGGGGTAGGAATAGGAAGCAGTAAAACCATAGTATATAACTATGGGTTAATCCCGGGTGCAAAGGAAGTAGTCAGGTGACTTTAGAGGGGCAATGAGACTGGACTTCTCTGAAGAGGTGGCATTATAGTTAAGATTCACACAGGCCAAAAGAGCTAAACATGTAAATTCCAGGAAAAAAATGTTCTGTACCTTAGGAACAGAAAGTGAAAAAGCCCCAAGGTAGAAAAAGCCTGATGTATTTAAGAAATAACATGAAAGTCTGTAAGGATACAGAGAAGTAGAAGGAAGTTAAAGAGGTAGGCTGAGAATATTCAATGGGAAATATTGCTTTCCCATAAGGACTTTCAATTTTAAGTAAAGCAGGTAGGGGAAATGATATGATTTTATTTCTTTCTTTATAAAAATCACTTTGGTTATTGCAGGAAAAAAATGGGTTTGAGGAGGTTGTGTCATGGAGCAGGAACTTTTGGTAGGAGTATGTTTAAATTCCTTCCCAAAGGAATGGTACAGATAGAGGCTTCTACTCAGAAAGGCAGGAGAAGTACAATGGATTTAAGATATGTTTGGGAGGAAAGCACTGGTAGAGTCACTCTGAACTGTAGATACATTGCATAGGAATAGATGTTATGGGAAAGAAGGAGTTAAGGCTGTGTCCTGGATTTTTACTTTAGTAGGTGGATAAACAGTGGTACCAGTTACTGAGATGGGGGCAATGTGAATGAGCAGGATGTTGAGAGAATGGTAATCAAGAATTCTGTTTTTGCTATGTTCAACTTTAGATATTTATTAGACTTTTGAGTGGATATATGAAGCATAATGCATGTGTTATATTAACATGGGGAGTTTGTTAACATTTAGCTTTCTGGATCTGTAACCCCAGAAACCATAGTCCAGTCTGTACAAAACAGGGTTAGGAAAACGCATTTTATGAAGTTCTTCAGATGATTCTGCAGACATTTAGTTGACCATACCATGGGAAAAAGAGTACGAGCCTGTAACCCATTACGTACTCTTGTAACCAAAACCAGGAATTTATTGAACTAATTTACATTAAAGCAGTAGTAATCAAATGCTTTTATTAGGGGTTATAGCATATGAGCATGGAATGTCACTGCTAAGATAGAAGAACAATTTAGTTTTATGCAATTTTAGATTTAAATATAAAACTCAAAGGGGAAGAATTATAGGGATGGAAACTTTTCTTGCATAATTTTGACCTTATTTTAGAGTGGTTACCAGTTCTATCCATGTTTACAGCCTTCTTTATATACAAGGTGGGCTCTGCTTGTACTTTTGGTGTAAACAACTCACAGAGGAAAGAACAGCTAGCATAATTCCAGGACAGAAGCATTCCATGGATTACATTGGGTTGAAATGTTCCTTCCCCTCCTCTTCTTGATATGTGAACAGAGAGAAGGTTTTTATTATTATTATTATTATTATTGTTGTTGTTGTTGTTGTTGTTGTTGTTGTTGATTTTTGCTTGCATTTTTTCTTTCCTTCATGGCTCTGAGAGAGGGGATAACTTTGTAATATTCACTTCCTGCTAAGAAATAACTGAGCTTAAAGTATTATTTTACTGTAAGAAAAAATGGCAACTCAAACATCTTAAGTTAATTTAATTTTTTAAATCATTATCATCTGTTACTTCCAAGCTTTTTCATTCCGAAATAGGAGAGCTTTTGTTTTCTCTTTCTTGGTTTGAATTTCACATTTTCAAATGTTTATAAGTTATCAAGGTCCAGGAATAACTTTAGAACAATTGAGATTGCCATTCTCAATATAAGTAAACTGGTACTGTGATGATAGTTTGATAGTCCATGCAGTTACTTACTATAGGAGCATCCATACACCTCAACCCTCATGCCAATCTTTCCACTTGGATTCCATTCCAGGGGCACAAAGCGAACAAAACGGGCTCTCACTGCATGCAGTAACTTGTGGTGCATCACACTGTCAGCATTTGTGTTCCCGACAAAGGTCTGCAAAGAGAAGAGGAGGCCCAGGGTAATCTTTGATTTTGAAGTATCTTCCTTACATGCTAGAACTCAAGGAAAGTCACTGCAAATCCACATATGTTACTCCACTAAGTCTCTCAGAGAAAACTCTCAATTTCTTAGATATTTCAAATGACATCTGACTTGTGTGAGAATTTCTCATTATACGTCATATTTTTGAAAACATTGTATATTATCCTTTAATACATCCTCCCAGTTTTTTCACAAAGTGAATCCTAGCAAGTCATAAGATGTGACACCTGAAAGCTTTACAAAGTAAATAATACAATGAAGTTCTGATATTCTTAATGTTCCTAATCACTGTGATATGAGAGATAAATGGCAAGACTTTTTTCAGGTAATCGTTGCCTCTAGCTGAGGACAGTTACTGTGCTAAGCACTCTCCATTATTATCATTTTGTGGGGGTGGTGGGAGAACAAAACAAAACAAAACCTGAAGCTTAGAAAGAAAAAAAAAAGGGGGGAAGAAAATTCTTTAAATTACCCAATTGGTTAGTAATTGGCCTGAAACTCAATTCTGAGGTTTTACTCTTTCAAAGCCTATGGATTTTCCACAGAATCATAACTCTTCAAAGATACCATTGTTAATTGTTAAACACAGGGAAACAGAAGGATCCAGTTTTTAGGTAATTTATTTTATATTTCCTTGTGAAATTTAAACAAAGGAACACATAGTATGGGAGCTAAAATTGTGCCTCCTGACCTTTATTTGGATAAATGATTACTGGAGTAGAAATTTTCTGTATACTTATTTTTTTCCCATTGGAGTAAAATATATATAACATAAAAATTACCATTTTAACAACTTTAAAGTATATACTTCAGTGGCATTAATTACATTCACATTGCTCAAAAATCTATCACCACTATTCATCCACAAAACTTTTCATCATCCCCATTGTACAGGTCAGCTAGCACACTGATGTGGCTGCTTTCTTATGAGTCATCATTTGCCTTCTTCTCTTATTCACATATTCATAAACAAAGCCTGCTTGCTAATTTTCTTCAATGCCAACCAATAAGTAGGTCCACTGGTTTCTAAAGGGGAAAAGTGAACACTAAGAAATGATTTATCTGTTTAATGATATCCATTTAAAAAAACCCAAAACTCAGTTTTGGCATACCCTTAAAACACTCAAGAATCTAGGTAATCTTGAAGAGTCTGACATTTCTGCTGAATACAAAACCCATACTGTCTGATAACTCTGACATTAAATATTTGATATAATTACTAGTAAAATCACGAAGTGAAAAAAGAACTTCCAGCCAGGATGGAAGCATAGGTAGATATATTTTGCCTCATCACACAACCAAAAAGAAAGACAACAAATTTAAAAAAAAAAAATAACCATAACTGTCAGAAAATCTAAATGTATGGAACTCTGACAGCCAAGGAGTTAAAGAAGAAACATTCATCCATACTGGCAGGAGGACAATCAGGGTGGAGAGAATTTGCTGCCAGGTGGTGGCTGGAGAACTGGGGTAGGTGAGGAGGCAGCTGAAAGAACAGGTGGTGTCACATTTGCCTGCAGATAAACCAGGAGGAACAACTGGGGAGCAAGGCAGACTGGGAAACCCAGGGTTTCAGCTTGGGGTAAAAATGCCTCAAAACCTCTGGCTATAAGAATCTATGGGGGTTGTAGTGGCAGGACTTCCAGCTTCACAGGAAAGTTTGTTAGAGAGACCCAGAGGGTCCTAGAACATACACAAAACCACCATGAGAATCAACACCAGAAGAGTCCAATTTGCTTCTGCATAGTTGGGGAAGTGATTGAAAGCTGGTTGTAGAGCTGAGCAAGTGGCACTGTTCCCTTTTGGACCATTCCCTCATGTACAGCACCAAAATGCAGCCATGTGGGTTGTCCCCACTCTGGTAAATACCTAAGGCTCTGCCCCTTACAACATAACAGGACTGCTCAGACAAACAATATGTTCCAAATGAAAGAACAGATGAAACCTCTAAAAATACAACTAAGCAATTAAGAGATAGCCAACCTATCAGATGCAAAGTTCAAAACACTGGTAATCAGATGCTCACAGAATGGTTGAGTGTGGAAGCAAAATAGAGGAAAAAGTGAGGGCTATGCAAAATGAAATAAAGGAAAATATACAGGGAACCAACAGTGAAGGAAAGGAAACTGGGACTCACATCAATAGTTTGGAGCAGAAGGAAAACATAAACATCCAACCAAAACAAATAAAGAAACAAGAATGCAAAAAATATTAAGAGAATCTTAGGAACCTCTGGGACAACTTTAAACATTCCAAAATCTGAATCATAGGGGTGCCAGAAGGAGAAGAGGAAGAGCAAGACATTGAAAACACATTTGAAAAAATAATGAAGGAGAACGTCCCTGATCTGGCAAAGGAAATATAATTCCAGGAAGTCCAGGAAGATCGGAAGCCCAAAGAAGTTGGACCCAAGGAAGCACACACCAAGGCACATCATCATTACATTACCCAAGATTAAATAGAAGGAGAAAATCTTAAAAGCAGCAACAGAAAAGGAGACAGTTACCTAAAAATGAGTTTCCATAAGACTATCAGCTGATATCGCAAAAGAAATATTGCAGGCAAGAAGGGACTAGAACAAAGTATTCTAAGTCATGAAAGGCAAGGACCTACATCCAAGATTACTGTATCCAGCAAAGCTATCATGTAGAATGGAAGGGCAGATAAAGTGCTTCCCAGATAAGGTCAAGTTAAAGGAGTTCATCATCACCAAGTCCTTATTATATAAGTGTTAAAAGAACTTATCTAAGAAAAAGAAGATAAAAAATACAAACAGTAAAATGACAACAAAATCACAACTATCAACAAACTGAACCTTAAAAAAAAAAAAACCAGAAACAAAAACGAAATAAACAATCAACTAGAATAGGAACAGAATTATGAAAATGGAGATCACATGGATGGTTAACAGTGGTGAGAGGGAGGGGAGAGAATGAAGGAAAAGTTACAGAGAATAAGAAGCATAAATAGTAGGTACAAAATAGACAGCAGGAGGTTAGAAATAGTATAAAAAATGGAGAATCCAAAGAACTTATATACATGACCCATGACGTTAACTAAGCTGGGGGAATGTTGGTGGGAGAGGACATGTGGGGCAGAGGGGAATGAAGGGGAGAAAAAAACGGGACAACTGTAATAACATAATCAATAAAATATATTTTAAAAAAATTGATCAGAGGAGGAAGATGGCAGCGTGGTAGGAGGGAGCAGATTCCACTTCCCCCTATGCAAGGGAGAGAAACTGGCCAATCTGTAGAGGAACAGAGCAAGGGACCAACAATATTGCAACATTTATGAAAAGAGGACATCAAAAATTATAGCAGACATTGAAAAACCAAACGGTAAGGAGACTGCTTCAGGATAATAAGGGCCCAGGGATCAGCTTTAGGACCAGGGAGGTTGCAGCCCCCAGGCCCTGTGCTCCCCGGTCTGCCTCAGGGCACTCGGAAGACAGCTGGGTCAACCCCTGTCTCCCCTGCCAAACAAGGATTGAGCAGCACCGGGGAGGCCTCCTTGCTTGAAGGCACAGAGAGGGGAGTGAAGACTGAGATACACTCACACAGGGGCTGCAAGCACCCCTGCATAGCCCTGGGAAGAGTGTGTGCCCCAGCCTGTGCGACCAAGGGTGACCTGGCCATGCACCTGCACTCCCAGCATGGAGATACTGTGGTTTTGTGGAAGACCGAGACCCTACAGCCCTGAACACAGAAAGGGCAAACACACTCAAGTGATCCTGAAGCCTGCAGTGGTGGACTTGGGGAAGTGCACACCCTCTCAGGATTCCAGGAGTTTATACCTTGAAGTATGCGCCCCTTCGTGATACCAAGAGCTTACACCGTGAACCTGGAACAGGCGTGGGCACTCTGTGGAATCCCCGAGCCCAGGAGCCCTGGTGGGGATTTCTGGAGAGCGTGCTTGGGAACGCGCAGACCCACACCCAGGGCCCTGAGGAGAGGCACCAGACAGACTGAAGAGAGAGCACCGCTAACCTTGGGGACAGCATGGGAGAGACAGACTGAGTTCTGACTGGGAAGGGTGAAAAGCATTCCAATCGGCCCTCAGCCTGCTGAAGCCAGCAAGACCAGACACACTGGTTTGGCCAGTTAGAACCCAACAAGAGGGTTTTTGTTGTTGTTGTTTGATTTTATCTTTTTTTAAGTAACTTTTTACTTTTGAATTCTTATTATTTTTATATCTCTCAATTCCTCATGCTTCTCTTCCTTTCATCCTAGTGTTATTTCTTCCTTTCCAAATTTATCTCTTCTTAATTCCATCTTCTGCTTTTTTTCCTTTATTTTTTAACCTGCAAGTTTCTGCAAATTTGTATTACATTTTTTCATTATTCTAACATTTTTTTTTTAATTTTAATAGTATTTTGATATTCCTCTTCTTCCTGTACAGTCTTCTTTGCTTGGCTGGTTATACTGTATTGTTTGATACGTTTCCCCTGTTATCTTCTTTATAGCGTATTGCTAATTTACTATCCTTCATTTGTGTTCCATTAGTACACGACTGAAGGTTCTACATTCCCTATTCTTGTTATCTAGATCTCATAGATTCTGCCATATGATTGTTGCGTTAATATTACTGGAAATATGACCTATTCCATACAATTGTAAATACTACACAATACGCCTCCCCCAGATCTCAGGCCACTTCTCAGTTTCCCGAACTCTTTTATTTTGGGTAACTCTATTCTCTTACAAACTACACCTATTTACTATTCTTTACTCTCACCCTACCTCAGAATCTGACCTCCCACAGCATCACTGCTTTCTAGATCCAACCAACAATCCTTTCCTCCCCATTAAGACCCTTAATTTCCTTACATCGTTCCTAAAGAATGGTTAGTGGTGTGGAAGGTCATGGTTAACATTATAAGTAGCAAAAGGATTTTCTATCACTTCTCTACTGACTGCTCCTGTAAATATCATAGAATATTCTGTAGTTGT